CCTGCTTTTGATTCTGCCATGTTTAGTGTTTTTATTACTTTTGTTTGTTTTTAACTTTTTAAATCTGTTCACTTTCTGCCTGCCTGCTTTTGATTCTGCCATGTTTAGTGTTTTTATTACTTTTGTTTGTTTTTAACTTTTTAAATCTGTTCACTTTCTGCCTGCCTGCTTTTGATTCTGCCATGTTTAGTGTTTTTATTACTTTTGTTTGTTTTTAACTTTTTAAATCTGTTCACTTTCTGCCTGCCTGCTTTTGATTCTGCCATGTTTAGTGTTTTTATTACTTTTGTTTGTTTTTAACTTTTTAAATCTGTTCACTTTCTGCCTGCCTGCTTTTGATTCTGCCATGTTTAGTGTTTTTATTACTTTTGTTTGTTTTTAACTTTTTAAATCTGTTCACTTTCTGCCTGCCTGCTTTTGATTCTGCCATGTTTAGTGTTTTTATTACTTTTGTTTGTTTTTAACTTTTTAAATCTGTTCACTTTCTGCCTGCCTGCTTTTGATTCTGCCATGTTTAGTGTTTTTATTACTTTTGTTTGTTTTTAACTTTTTAAATCTGTTCACTTTCTGCCTGCCTGCTTTTGATTCTGCCATGTTTAGTGTTTTTATTACTTTTGTTTGTTTTTAACTTTTTAAATCTGTTCACTTTCTGCCTGCCTGCTTTTGATTCTGCCATGTTTAGTGTTTTTATTACTTTTGTTTGTTTTTAACTTTTTAAATCTGTTCACTTTCTGCCTGCCTGCTTTTGATTCTGCCATGTTTAGTGTTTTTATTACTTTTGTTTGTTTTTAACTTTTTAAATCTGTTCACTTTCTGCCTGCCTGCTTTTGATTCTGCCATGTTTAGTGTTTTTATTACTTTTGTTTGTTTTTAACTTTTTAAATCTGTTCACTTTCTGCCTGCCTGCTTTTGATTCTGCCATGTTTAGTGTTTTTATTACTTTTGTTTGTTTTTAACTTTTTAAATCTGTTCACTTTCTGCCTGCCTGCTTTTGATTCTGCCATGTTTAGTGTTTTTATTACTTTTGTTTGTTTTTAACTTTTTAAATCTGTTCACTTTCTGCCTGCCTGCTTTTGATTCTGCCATGTTTAGTGTTTTTATTACTTTTGTTTGTTTTTAACTTTTTAAATCTGTTCACTTTCTGCCTGCCTGCTTTTGATTCTGCCATGTTTAGTGTTTTTATTACTTTTGTTTGTTTTTAACTTTTTAAATCTGTTCACTTTCTGCCTGCCTGCTTTTGATTCTGCCATGTTTAGTGTTTTTATTACTTTTGTTTGTTTTTAACTTTTTAAATCTGTTCACTTTCTGCCTGCCTGCTTTTGATTCTGCCATGTTTAGTGTTTTTATTACTTTTGTTTGTTTTTAACTTTTTAAATCTGTTCACTTTCTGCCTGCCTGCTTTTGATTCTGCCATGTTTAGTGTTTTTATTACTTTTGTTTGTTTTTAACTTTTTAAATCTGTTCACTTTCTGCCTGCCTGCTTTTGATTCTGCCATGTTTAGTGTTTTTATTACTTTTGTTTGTTTTTAACTTTTTAAATCTGTTCACTTTCTGCCTGCCTGCTTTTGATTCTGCCATGTTTAGTGTTTTTATTACTTTTGTTTGTTTTTAACTTTTTAAATCTGTTCACTTTCTGCCTGCCTGCTTTTGATTCTGCCATGTTTAGTGTTTTTATTACTTTTGTTTGTTTTTAACTTTTTAAATCTGTTCACTTTCTGCCTGCCTGCTTTTGATTCTGCCATGTTTAGTGTTTTTATTACTTTTGTTTGTTTTTAACTTTTTAAATCTGTTCACTTTCTGCCTGCCTGCTTTTGATTCTGCCATGTTTAGTGTTTTTATTACTTTTGTTTGTTTTTAACTTTTTAAATCTGTTCACTTTCTGCCTGCCTGCTTTTGATTCTGCCATGTTTAGTGTTTTTATTACTTTTGTTTGTTTTTAACTTTTTAAATCTGTTCACTTTCTGCCTGCCTGCTTTTGATTCTGCCATGTTTAGTGTTTTTATTACTTTTGTTTGTTTTTAACTTTTTAAATCTGTTCACTTTCTGCCTGCCTGCTTTTGATTCTGCCATGTTTAGTGTTTTTATTACTTTTGTTTGTTTTTAACTTTTTAAATCTGTTCACTTTCTGCCTGCCTGCTTTTGATTCTGCCATGTTTAGTGTTTTTATTACTTTTGTTTGTTTTTAACTTTTTAAATCTGTTCACTTTCTGCCTGCCTGCTTTTGATTCTGCCATGTTTAGTGTTTTTATTACTTTTGTTTGTTTTTAACTTTTTAAATCTGTTCACTTTCTGCCTGCCTGCTTTTGATTCTGCCATGTTTAGTGTTTTTATTACTTTTGTTTGTTTTTAACTTTTTAAATCTGTTCACTTTCTGCCTGCCTGCTTTTGATTCTGCCATGTTTAGTGTTTTTATTACTTTTGTTTGTTTTTAACTTTTTAAATCTGTTCACTTTCTGCCTGCCTGCTTTTGATTCTGCCATGTTTAGTGTTTTTATTACTTTTGTTTGTTTTTAACTTTTTAAATCTGTTCACTTTCTGCCTGCCTGCTTTTGATTCTGCCATGTTTAGTGTTTTTATTACTTTTGTTTGTTTTTAACTTTTTAAATCTGTTCACTTTCTGCCTGCCTGCTTTTGATTCTGCCATGTTTAGTGTTTTTATTACTTTTGTTTGTTTTTAACTTTTTAAATCTGTTCACTTTCTGCCTGCCTGCTTTTGATTCTGCCATGTTTAGTGTTTTTATTACTTTTGTTTGTTTTTAACTTTTTAAATCTGTTCACTTTCTGCCTGCCTGCTTTTGATTCTGCCATGTTTAGTGTTTTTATTACTTTTGTTTGTTTTTAACTTTTTAAATCTGTTCACTTTCTGCCTGCCTGCTTTTGATTCTGCCATGTTTAGTGTTTTTATTACTTTTGTTTGTTTTTAACTTTTTAAATCTGTTCACTTTCTGCCTGCCTGCTTTTGATTCTGCCATGTTTAGTGTTTTTATTACTTTTGTTTGTTTTTAACTTTTTAAATCTGTTCACTTTCTGCCTGCCTGCTTTTGATTCTGCCATGTTTAGTGTTTTTATTACTTTTGTTTGTTTTTAACTTTTTAAATCTGTTCACTTTCTGCCTGCCTGCTTTTGATTCTGCCATGTTTAGTGTTTTTATTACTTTTGTTTGTTTTTAACTTTTTAAATCTGTTCACTTTCTGCCTGCCTGCTTTTGATTCTGCCATGTTTAGTGTTTTTATTACTTTTGTTTGTTTTTAACTTTTTAAATCTGTTCACTTTCTGCCTGCCTGCTTTTGATTCTGCCATGTTTAGTGTTTTTATTACTTTTGTTTGTTTTTAATTTTTTAAATTTTTTTCACTATATTTCTTCCTGCCTGGTTTTGATTCTTCCATGTTTAATATATTTTTTTTTTTTTGAGACAGAGTCTGGCTCTGTCGCCCAGGCTGGAGTGAGTGCCGTGGCGTCAGCCTCGCTCACAGCAGCCTCCAACTCCTGGCCTCCAGCGATCCTCCCGCCTCGGCCTCCCTCCCGAGTAGCTGGGACGACAGGCGTGCGCCACCACGCCCGGCTCGTTTTTTTCTATATATCAGTTGGCCAATTAATTTCTTTCTATTTTTAGTAGACACGGGGTCTCGCTCTTGCTCAGGCTGGCCTCCAACTCCTGGCCTCGAGCGATCCTCCCTCCTCAGCCTCCCCGCGTGCCGGGATGACAGGCGTGAGCCACCAGGCCCGGCTTATTTTTTCCGTATATTATTTTTAGTAGTCCAGCTAATTTCTTTCTATTTTTTTTTTTAGTAGAGACGAGGTCTCGCTCTTGCTCAGGCTGGCCTCCAACTCCTGGCCTCGAGCGATCCTCCCTCCTCGGCCTCCCAGAGCGCCGGGACGGCAGGCGTGGGCCTCCGCGCCCGGCCCTAGCTGGATTTTGAAAGCTTTTCCTGACCGCTGCAGCCCGTTACTGTTCTGTTCTTCTGCCGAATCTCTGGGACTTGCCCACACGCTATTTCGTAACTGGATGTGGCGTGTGTCTGGCTGACCCTAGCAAGGGGCCTTAACGGGAGGTCGAGGCTGGTGTCTCCGTCTGTCCCCAAACTATTCGCTGTTGGAAAGAAGGAACTAGAAGCCTATTGCCTAAGAGGTGGCTTTTGATTGTTTGCTATACCCAGAATTTCTGTCGTGATCGACGACTGCCAATAAGAAACACACCCCCTTTAAGCTCTTTATATGTCAGAAAAAGGAAAGAAAAAAGTTAAGTATTATAAAGGCAAATTTATAATTAAAAAAAAAAAATAGGAAATATACCCCCATAATGTGCTGAAATAAAAAAATATATAGAAAAAAAAAAAGAAAGGAACTCTTGACATTGTTTAAAATCACTGGCTATTCTAGATTTCAGAGAAAAAAAACATTAAAGGAAAAAATAAACGAGATAAAATGAAAGCAGTGGGTCAGAGCCTACGGGGTTTGTAAAAGCTTTTAGAAGGAAAGCTACGGTCTGGTTGTGCGTTTT